ACGAAAAGAAAGCAACAACAACAAATCCACTAAGAAAGAAATGAAGAAGAATGAATGGTTTGTTTTGACCAAAATAAGACGTTTAAAGCGTGAAAATATCGCCATCACTTATGAAATTTATGAACACGCGCGACACTATCGCTAATGCGTGTGGTTATGGGTTTATGGACCGCTCTCCGATTTTATTTGACTTTGGTGCTTAGCCTTATTTGCCTTGAGCTGCAATGAATGGTTTGTGCCTTTTGGCAAATTTCGTTTATAAAATGTTTAAATGATTCTTATGCTGAACCCAGATGTGTGCCTGAAGTACAATAGTTGGGACCATGAGTCACCCGCCAATCGCCTAGAACTATTTTTGCAGACGAAGAACTCTACGAAAAATAAATCAGCAAGCAATCGAATTGAAGTTTTATAGCTTTTTAATATTGGCATTGAAGGTGTTGGAATAATTGTAACGATGGTGTGAAATGTGAACTTTATTTACAGTTAATTGGTTGTAGAAATGTTCTGAAGAAACCTAAATGTAGAATGTTTCATGAGTCATTTCAAGCACGATTTTCTCTTATTCATGTAACTGTTTGAAAACTTGAATTAAAACCTATTCGTAGTATATGAATCACTGCTCTATGTAAGAAAACTGTAGAAAAATTGCAAAAATTTTCTGTTAAAAATATTTTCCAACAGTTGTTACCATTTCTTAAATTTTTTTAAAGATAAAATGATAAAATACGATAAATATTTCAGTGAAAGTTATACAGTTTTAAGAAATATTCGTGTAATTTCAGGAAAGATGGCCACTTATTGAATAGTTTTAATTTAAATTAATGTATAATATAAAGTTTTCGAACTAAAGAAGTTTAAAAGATTTCAGTCGAATTTATATTTGGTCGAGTTGCCAACTGATTATTATTTTAATTTTAATTAAATTTTTAAATACTTAAAAATTATTTGTATAACTAAATAGTTTTAAAAAATATTTTTGGCATCAATATTGTTGGCAGAGTTGCCGCATGTTTGAAATTTTAAATTAAAAACAAGAAAAAACGATAACCTCGGTTGCCTCGAAGCTATAATACCCTTCAGAAATACAAAGGCTTTTTACAAGAACTTTATTTCGATCGTTCAATTTGTATAGCAGCTATATGCTATAGTGATCAGATCTGACCAATTTCACCGGAGAATAATTTGTTGCCTTAAGCGATAACTCGTGCCTAATTTCGTGAAGATACCTCGTCAAATAAACAAATCTTCCATGCAAGCACTATACTCCGATCGTTCAGTTAATATGGCAGCTATATAGTCATCCGATCTACACAATTTCTTTGGCGATTAGATTATTGCCTTAAATAATAATATGTGCCAAATTTCGTGAAGATAGAGTTTTTCATACAAGCACTTCATTCCGATTGTTCAGTTTGTATGGCAGCTATATGCTATAGTGGTCCGATATCGGCCGTTCCGACAAATGAGCAGCTTCTTTGTAAGAAAAGGACAAGCGCAAAATTTTAGATCGATAGCTTAAAAACTGAGAAACTAGTTTGTATATATACAGACAGACGAACAGACGGACATACAGACGGACATGGCTAAATCAACTCAGCTCATCATGCTGATCATTTATGTATATATTTTATAGGATCTCCGACGTTTCCTTCTGTGTCACAAACTTCATGGCAAACTTAATATACCCTGTTCCGCCTGTTCAGGGTATAAAAAGGTGCTAAAATAAATTCAGTATTACAATATTTGAGAAATCTTTAATGCAGATAAAAATATTTTTAAAACTATTTACGGTTTATGCAGCGCCCTTCTTCGTAAAAAAAAGTTGCTGAAAGCGTTCGTGAAATCGTATTCTTCCCATATATAGGACGATGGAATCTTTTGCCATGAAACGTGAATACCTAGATTAGTAATGAATATAAGTATGTATATGTTAGTATGTACGAAAAACTATTTTTTGTAATACTATTTTTCGACTATTTTCTGCTTTCCGCATCATTAACACAAAATAACGTTCACTTTAGAGCGAAATATTGACCTTGCCATATTCTTGCTTTCTGAAAAAAATATATAAAATAAAACTCACCTGTTGTTAACTATAAACCACCAGTTCAGTCGTAATGCTTAATTAAGCAATCAATTAAAAGCCCACATACAAAATGAAATAAAATTGCAAATTAGAATCGCGCGCCATATGAATTAGAATATCTCTTTTCCATTTTAGTTTTCTAATCTTAAAGATTTAGTGGCGATTTGCATATTAAGTTCATCTCGCTTAAACACTGCTGGTCACAATTGGACATAAATGCGCTGAACTGTCTTGTAAAGTTAAAGAAACGCGATAATTGGACCACCCATTATAGCCACACATACAAACATAAAATTTTTCAACCTTTTCAAAATTCTCCATAGAATATTACAGCTTTGAGAGCAGAAAAAAAAATAAACCATCGCTTTTATTTGGCAAATTATCATTTTTATTTATTGTAGTAATTTGTATTCATTTGTGTTTTGTGTCTCGTTTACTTTCAGTTTTCTGGTATTGAAATCCAAATTTGCATGCAATAAATTTTAATTAAATTATTACATACTTAGTTAGAGTAGTCGTCAAAACCAGTTCGATGTTTGCTATCGTTAAAACGGTATTGCTACAGTTATTGTTGCTAACATAACTTATAGATATGTATATACATATGTTTGCAGATATATTTACATTATAGGTACAGGGTGTTGAAGGAGATGAAATAAAAAAAATATCTTTAAAAGAACCTAGAATGATGGTTCACAACATTTGTTTTTGTATCTTGGTAAAAATAACAATTTATAAAGTGGAAATTAGTTGAAAAAAAAATATTTAGATAAAAAAAATTTTAATAAAAAATATTAATTAAAAATATTTTTTTTTTCAAAATTTTGTTTATACAAAAAATTCATAACTATATTTCAAATAAATAAAAATTTTATAAATAACACTTTTAGATAAAAAATACACAAAAAAAAAATTTTACAACGATTTTTATATTTAAAAATTTTGTAATAAATTTTTTTAATTAAAAAATATACTTTTCCATACTCAATTTTTTTTTGGTGTTTAGAAAGACATAAATTATTTATATTTTTTAAATTTTATGTTTCAATTTACAAATTTTATTTCAATTTTCTTCTCATCTAAACTTTTTTTGATTTTTTCTTGTTTTTTCTGCTTAACACCCTGTAATTTGAGCTCCAAATAAGTTAAAACGCGAATTTTGGCCTTAAATTAATATTTTCGAACCATTTTAGCATCTTAATACAATTTTATTTTGTGTCTTAAACTTAAATAAATTACAATATATTTCATAAGTACAGTATTTTAGCGATTATATAGTTTTATGCTATAAATATTCATTAAATATTTACACGTATACATTTGTATTTCTTCACATAATAACTTACTACTTAAAATAATAGTAGTATCATTTATATCAGCTAGGACTAGATTTGGTTTGTAGTTAAGCCAATAAAATTAGTTGAAGTATATATACGAGTATGTGTATTTTATTTAGAAATATTTCTTAAACTTTATTTTTATTTTTGTAATTTTTTTGTGCCTTCTACTAGCAATGTTTTTTCGAGGTGGCTACTTATTTTACTTTTTTATTAAAACAAAAATTACAAAAAATTAAAATCTATTTTCTCATTTAATTTGTATTTGTTTTATTTTAATGAAATATAAATTTAAATAAATAAATATTTTTAATTTTTAATTACTATGATGAATATTGCTTGAATGGGAGCGATTCAAGTACAGAACACTGCGAGGGCTACATAGTCATATATGGGGTTACAATAATAAAGAAATAGTTTTCTATAGAAAGAAAAAAAAACAGTTATAATAAACATGATTTCTGTCCTGTTCATAGACTATATACATTTACTATTTAAAAGTGTTTAAACTTTAAACGTGTATTGGTTAAATTTTTTAAGAGGATGTGAAAAATTTTAAAATAAGCTGAAAGTCAGAGGCTCAGAGATGTATGCTCTTTCGCTTCATAGCGGGTGTGTTTTTAGACATGTAGTTTCCAATGAGACAATATTTTTGATTCACTTTATGGAAGATTTTGCGGATGGAACGTCCATAAAATGAAAGAATCCATTTATTGAAGGAAAGTTTAGGTGAGAACATTACCTCGCATCTGAGGCCTCTGGCATGGCCTCCAAGAATTGCTGCAAAAAGTTATCGAAAATTTGGCCTCTCGGCTGAAGTTTATTCGAAGCAGCCGCGACGGCAACTTGTCTGAAATAATTTATAAAACATAAAGGCACACCACATCTTTATAATAAAGCTAAATTCTTGGCCCTGACATTAAATTATATGCGTTTTATTTCTTGTTGAAACCCACCTGTATTGAACCTGTTAATGTCATCTTGAAATTTAAAGTCCTGCCTTCGGACAATAATTTAGACGCTAGCCTGCTTTTAAGTTGTTAAAATGACTCCAAACTAATGTACAACAAATGTAGTATACGTTTTCGAAATCTCTTAAATGTTTGGATCGACCTCGTCGAATTTGATTCTGTATTGAGCCAGATGGAGCTAGATTTTCCATAGCTTCCATTTTTGCTTACCCATTTACCCTGCTTAGAGACATTTTTAAAAAAAAAAAAGAAATAAAACCTACCTATTTAAACCCAATATACCTAAATTTAAACATCTATTGTTATACCAAAGACTGCATTCTTTGACACCAAGTTCAGGAACTCTAAAAAATTTGATGAATAACCTCTCTTTACCTCTTTCTCTTTGTTCCACTGAACGGATTTTGTTTCAAGTGCAACATTGTAATTCCAACAACACTAGATATGTGAGTTCAGTTAAAAAAGCACTCTTGATAAATTCAGATATATCCAAAAATTTTGCGAAAATTGGAGTGCAGATAAGTAATATAAGAACCTTGGCAAGAGTGGAATTTTGATCACATAAATAACAAGATTATAATCAAATAAAAAATAAAAAGCTTATACACTTTTCATAAAATTATATTTTAGAATTAGTGATTTACAAAATTTTAGATTATCAGTCGTCAGTAAGAATTTGCCTAATAAATGGTTGTCAGTCAGTCATCTAAATTGTGAAGTTCAAGCGACGTTTCCTAAAGCGCTTATTAGATGTGGTTGGCGTATTTTGGTATACAGCCACTGAAGAATGATTCGCTCTCGGTGGGGTGCACAGGTCTTCAATTTCTGAGTTTTCCTCTAAAATTTCGATTCCGTCATCATTGTCCGGTGATATAACATACTTGTTGGCTGATGTAACATATGCTACTCCATTGGAGTAGGCATTCTTCTCGGGTGAGTCTAAATCAGATTCGATGGTCGAGCTGCTTCCTCTTTGTGACCATATCTTTTTTATAATCAATGATTTAGTGACTTTGGCTTGCTCGTCAGAATCATCTGTATCATCATCACTATCGATGTGAATGACTTCATTTGGCCGCATATTTAGCCCATCTGTGGACTCTTCTTCGGGTTGATCTTGTTTTTCCGACAAATTGTTAATATAAATCGCGTGACAAAAGTGTTTACTTTCGCAATCGTCTTCGTAACTGTCATCATCTGTATCCGACTCATTGGAATGCATCAATTCATATCTGACACGTGCTCTTTTCAATTTGCGCGAGAACATTTCTCTCCGCTCACGTGCTTCCTCTTGCTGTAAGTACACGTCTAATAAAGTGCCGTAACCATATTTAATTTGTGACATTATTGCCCATGTGTCCATCTCAAGGATTATGCGTTTATTTTAAATGGCACCTTTGGGTAAGGTTTTCACAACATGACTGACGATATGTCTGGATTAGGAGCTTATATATACATTTTTGTCATTGCACCTAAATATTCTGTTTTTTTTCGGTTGAAGATGAGATGAGGTTCTGCAACATAAAAGATCTGCTGACCTTTATCAGGTAGTTAAAGCGCAGAATTCGCAAAGCATGCTGAACCACCTCTCACCTCTGCCTACTTGAAGGTCGCTGTTATTGTTATGGCCGATAACAATACAAGTATATCTAATTTCAAGGAACTTACGCAAAAATATATACATATATTCTTTTGTCTTCCCTTCAATCTTATTTATGATTTTTCCATTATTTTTCAAGCCTTTTAAGTCTCCATAAAAATATTTTAACCATATCGTTCGCCACTCTAATCCTTTTTCAGTTCATGTTAATTTGCAAACTGGAATTTGAAAATATTCTGTATACAAAAGTTGAGGGAAACTATATTTTGTTAAGAAATCCAAGCTATGGAATAATTTGGCTGGCTTTCCAAAATCAAATAGTAACGGTTTCTTGTAGGCAAGTGAAATTCCTTTCAATTGTTAAAACATGTTTTCAAACTAACCACAAGACTTAACTTTTTTTGGTAGTAGCGAATGGAAGCATATCTCTTCCATCAAACTCAGTCTCCCAATATTTAGCCCACGCCACGTTCTTACCATAATCGCTCTCTATACTTCATTTCGTTAAATATAATACAATAAATTTAAATATTTTGTACATATAATTTACATTCGTATACATATTTTTGCTATTAGTTGTAAATAAATTAATTAATAATTATAATTTACAGTGATAGTTATTACTTCGTTGTCTCCAAATACAATTACCTCAGCATCACGAGACTACCTACGTGGACACAGTTGTGGCTGTTGTTGCGCCACCATTTCTTACCTCTGCTGCTGCGGCGGCCGCTGCTGCGTTTTCGCGCTCCTGCAGCTCTTGCAGTTCTTCTTCTTCTCGCGTCAGCGGCACCGTCGAGTGGTTGTAAAGGCCTTGCGCCATAAGTTGCAGGGCCAAAGGATTCTTAGTGCCGCTTGACTTTTTCAGTTTGGCACGTTTGTTTTGAAACCAAATTTTTATCTGCGCCTCATTTAGTCCCAGTTCGGAGCTAAGTTGCTGACGTCGCTTTTCGGTTAGATAACGATTCTCGGTGAACTCGTGCTATTTTGTGGGCGAAAGAAGAGAGGGAAAAATAAAATAAATAAAGCGTGAGCAAATACTAATCAAAAATATATGGAAAAGCAGGTAATCTTGTGCAACGTAAGGTTTTGCTCAATTTTACGGCCACGTTTTCAAAAAGCGAAAAACACAGTGAAATTCGCGGGATGGAATAAAGTTATTTTGCACATAAACCGATTTTAGATATACTTTTCGACTAATTTGTGGGGTCTTAGGAAAGGCGAAAATATTATTCGAGCTCTTGGATAACATATACCATCCCTTCATTTAGAAAAATAATCTTTCAGATATTATTTTTGTAACTAATTCCTATGTTCGAACCATTATCTCGTGGATCCTAAAGATTAAAGTTGAGAAAGCTTATGCATAGAATAAAATTTAGATGTACACGGCGACCTGAGCTATTTGGCATATATTCAAATATTTCCTGTCTCTGATAAATTTCATGATTTTACTAGGCGCCATTTTGTCAATGTGCTCCCTACTTAGATGATCTCACGCGTCTTGCGATCCCGCGTCTACAGATCACTACACAATCTAGAAGCAGATGCTCGGGAGTTTCCGGCTCCTTTTCGCAGAACCGACACTTTTCAGACGAGGCTTTACCCATGTTCAATATATACATACGTAAGTACTTCTTGAAACAGCAGTCATTTGTGAACCACTTTAGCTTATAAAACAAAAAAAACGTTAACTTCGCCTGCACCGAAGCTATAATAGCCTTCACAAGTGCATGTTTTAGGACATAAATAAACTGCATTCTGTTTTTGATTGGTCATATGTATGACAGCTACATGCTATGGTTGTCCGATATCGGTTGTTCCGACAAATGAGCAGCTTGTTGTTGAGGAAAGGACCTGTGCAAATTTTTAGATCAATATCTTAAAAACTGAGGCGCTAGGTCGCGTATCTACAGATGGACATGGCTAAATAAATTCGGTTCGTTACGCTGATAATTTATATATGTATATAATTTATAAGGTCTCTGACGTTTTCTTTTGGGTGTTACAAACCTAGTGGCAACTTGAGAATATAGTGTTACGATGGATAATTTAAAAAAGTCTATATAGTTTTTTCAAAATAATCGTCGGGTTGGAACCTAAAATATATATTTTTTGGCTATGTGACTTATTTATAGACAGGCCGAAAGTTAAATGAATGAGAAACTGTAGCCTTCGGAAGTGTAACGTAGGTTATGACGGAGCCATTGAAATATACTGCATGAGAACAATTTCTTCACTAAACTTTCAATCCATGAACGTATTTTCTATTGAGACCATATCTTTTTATAGTTATAGTATGTGCCATATTTTAAATTTTAATATCCATATTCCAGTGAATAAGTTACCTTACTGTCATCGGTATTATCTTTTAAATTGAATCAAACTACACACAATGTATTAAGTTTTATTAAAATCAGTATATTATGAGTTTATCCCGGACAAACAAAGCGACATGTAATATATTATATACATATACATATATGTAGATACGATTGTGGCTCTATATGAAATATCATATTTTTTAACAGGAATGCCATAGTTATAAGACTTTGAACTTAAACTCAGTTAAAAAGGCTATATTGAACTCATACCAACTTTGGAAGGGTTTCGGAGAATTATAAGATTACCCGGTTAGAGATAACAGGTATGCCAGCTCGATTTAACAACAACATATAATCGAAGAAGAATGCTTGAGATTTCGATACTTAGTCCTTAGTGATAAGGCTTTCAACTAAAAAAAAACTAAAAAATACTTCAATTTTATTAACAAAAATGCAATTTCTTGTGCTACTTCTACCACTAGTTTATAAACTGCCTTCCACTTAAGATAATAAATAGCTGGTATATGTACTTCTCGGTATACTATGTATGTATGCAACTACGTCTAGATATTTTTCAATTCATTGCCTCTGCTTCGGTGGAAATTAAATTTCATTGCGCAGCAATAACTCACCTTCAAGCGCGCCAATTGCGATCCACTGAACGCCGTGCGCGGTCGTTTATCCTCTGCGGTGGCAGCACCGCCACCTCCGCTTCCGCTGCCATTCGATGCACCGCTGCTACTGCCCTTCTCACCGGCCAACTTCTTCGGCTTACGTGCACGCGGGCCTGGAAATACAGAGAGATAATAGAACACAGAGCCATTAAGTAGGGGAGGGGCAAAGGAGACGAAGTGTGAAAAAGTGTAGCTAAGCGTGACCACCGTTATAAGTCGGTAGACATATGTGAAAATATAAATATGTATATATAAGTAGGTGTGTGTGTAGACTTATAAAACGCATTTAATTGAGCAGGACTCACTGCCGCACTGTGAGGTACTTGGGTGCACCAGTAAGTAATTGTGAATTATCAACCTTCTACTAAATTTCACGTATATCTAAGGGTTGTATGCACCCGTCCACTGATACATATGTGTGTATGTGTTTGTGAATATGCTCAACTGGAACATAAAAATTCCATTTGCCCGAAATAAAATAGATGCGCGTAATTGCGCCACAATGACTGGACGCAAACGTTCCGCTTTGCCTACATTTTCGGACACTAGCTGGTCTGCGCTCCCTTACCCAGTCACCAAAGGCGCACTTAGATTACCACTTGCTTTAAGCCCAGACACATTGAGCAGCGAGTCTGCATAAATTTCCGTGGCATCCACGCACGAACTTGCCGCCAAGATTTATGAGGAGTTAAAAATTACACGGCACCAATGAATTGTAATTCGGCAAAGCGCTCGGAATTGTTAACAAATTCATGCAATACCCACTTTCGTCCTTCGACAATGAGTTCCCCTGCCACAGCTAGATACCGCTGCCATTGTTGCCGACGCAATTAATTCAAATGTTAAATAGTCCAAAGTCCAAGTTGTCTTACGTTGTGTTTTACTTATTTTTCCTTTTAAATAATTAAATTTCACTTCTGGTTTCTGCGCGTCATCACAGCTTTGGCGGAACTTTGACAGCATGTCGCGTAGTCACCGCTACCCGCCTACTCGGAAAGCAATCAAAGACGATGACGACAATTTGGCACTCTGTGCCGCAGTGGAAATGAATTGACTTTTGGGTAATTAAAGCTAATTTAAAGTGGGACGGAAGAGTGTTTATTTGGGTAAAGCTTCCGTTTGCACTTCGAAAGGCAGAGAGTGGAAGAATTCCGGGGTGGGTGTAAAATGTTGCGACTTAATAGTGATTTTCTTTATTGAAAAAGTAAACTCTGATGCCTACCTTTGTGAACCCCGAACGCAAGATCAATTGGAGTCTTCATGAACACAATGAAAACTTTTTGGTTCATATTCCCTTGCTTATATTTCGACGTAGTTGAGTAATATATGAATGATGCGGAGCTCCACATCGATTCTAGTTTCAGACCACTGATTTGTCTTTCAAGTTAACATTAAATATACTGCTTCAAATCGTTCACTTTGACTGACTGCATGCGCAGAACTAGTCAAAGAGTGTCTCACTTATTAGTTGCATCAAAGTACAACTAAGTGTTAAGACCTATAGGGGTACCAATCGTCAGAAATGGGAAAGTTGATGAGCTTAAAATAAGGACATCTTCACAACAATATCCTCAAACCGAGAAGTTGTAGCTCTGCTAACCTACGCTCTAATACAATTAGCCCTTATATTTTTAAGGTCTTGGTAGTTATTGTTCGGGTTTTAACCACCCGCCTATTTGTACTTAGTATTTAGTATTTTATATTAGCGTAGCGATGATGATATGTAATAAGTCCCCCCGATCTGCTATCAGATTTCGCGAAATTGGATACATTTATGGTTCCAGAGAGAAACATTCCGCAATCCTATTTCACTTCGACTGCATCTCTGATATCGTGAACCACTGCGAAACGGGCCCTACTTCTAGTGACATCTTCTCCGCGTACATATGTATACTTCTCCAAGAGATATGTTGCGGAGTCGCTGAAGAAGAGGCGCAGTGAGCTTTTTAAAGGATGGATCGAAACTCAAGAATGCGGTTGGACGAGGAGTCTTCTGTCCGGAGCTCGCAATCAACTCTTGTTTCAGACTACCAAATCCTTATAAAGGCTTTCCAGCAGAAGTGGCATCCATTAAAGTAGCCGTGCGGCTTCTTTTAGGGAGGTATGCAACCACTCCGATAGCAGAGATATACAGGCTTTGAGCTTGCTGACAGTTGGCAAGCTTTGGTCAGCAACCAGCACTTGTGGGGTTGCGAAAACCTTCTGACCTAGTGGGGACCTACCTGCTCTTAGCAAGGCTTACATCGCCGCCATGATGGTGTCCTAACTGGACACTGTCTCTTTGAAACTCACGCGTTGAGGCTAACAATTTTGGAGGACGCAACTTTTCAAAGTTACGATTAGGATGATGAGGGGAAACATTCAGTCACTTTCTCCTGCACTGTTCAGCTTTCGGCAGACTAAAATTGAAGCATCTTGGTTACCATACTTTCTACGAACTCGGTGAAATGGCTAGAATTGATATCCGCTGCCTCTATAAATTTTTGGCAGGCTCTAGGCACTTTGTTGTTTGAATAAGTTTTAGAAATTGAAGACCATACATTTTTACAAAATCTTCTATTCACAAACAAATATTAATCTATCTTATACTATAATCATGTATGCGTAGGGGCGATCTTCGAACCGACAGTGTTAGCAATATAGCTACAGTTCATTTTGATGAATTGGGTGAAGGCTTCGCTCCTGAATATCGATCGTTTGGAGTTTATTTATTTGCATTAATATAGCTAATAGTATTGACTAATACACAGTCTCTTTCTTAACGTATTTCTCCGACTGATTTAATTAATTTTCTTTTTATGCGTATGTTGCCCGCTTTCTACCTTTCATAGTTGAAGGGACTGACTCCTGAGCTATCGACTGTTACGATCGACTTAGTCGACATGAAATTGTGGTTTCTATGATTATTCGTTAGCGATCGCAAAGAGAAGGAGCAAAGTTCAGGAATCACCGCATTTGGAGGGGAAGAGCAATGCTTTCCCGCTTTAACCACTGCCATGAAGTTCATATAAATAAGTTCGAACTGGATGAAGATCTATAAAGAGGGTAGAGAAAAATATCGAATATCTAAGAATCTAACTAATCAAACTTCATTGTTGTTTAACTACTCATTTCATTGTGGTTCGCTTCAGTAGTTTGACTTATGGTCTTCCATGAAAGTGAAATGTTGCAGCCTTTCAGCTTAAAAGATTCCCTCTAAAAGATTCGCTAGGTACAAAAAATTTAGAAACTCTGTATCATTTCCTAAACAACTTTTAAATATTTCGGGTCATTTAATATATTTCACAAATGATTTATACCCTTTAATATGTGAATGGCGATATTATGTAAGTCCAAGACGATGATATATTAAGTAGTTTTGTGGTGACCACAAATATTTCTTAATTTCACTGAAATATTTTCCTTAGCGTCGCAGTTGCTGTTATTAATAACTCGGCAGCACGACAAGACGTTCAAGTCGCGGTTTTCTGTTTCTGTACTGTCGCTAGCCAAGCGTGCTGAAACAAGGAATAGAGTTGGGGCAGCACAACTATTGTGAAACTATGGGCAGAGTGGTAGTTTCTTGGAACTTATATTTTTATATATATATATATATATATATAGCAAGTCTAGCTTGTAAGCCACTCATTCCAATAGCTCAAAATAATTACTTGCCGTTTCATGCTACATTTGCATTTCGCTCAACTTGGCGGCCAGTTGAAAAGTTGAAAACCAGAAATGCCCATTAGTGGCTGTCGAAATTGCTTCATTTTCGCAAAACTATTCAAATAAAGGAGTAACTTTCACTTCAACACGCTCACCAATTACTACTTATATACAAAACTCATTCGACATCGGACATTTTCCACGAAAAAGCAATTAGGAGTGGCGAGTGTGTGAATGTATGGGTGAAAATGAAATTAAGTGTCAACATTTTAATATGGCAATACTGGCAAATGTCATAAAAAATAATTAAAGGCTGTCGAAAGGATTCAGACACACACACATAATTGCTTAACTTTCTCGCAAGCGCTTTAGCTGGCGAGCAAATTTAAATTCTTGTGGCTCAATTATTTCTGTATTTGTGCTAAAAGCCTTGAAAACTCTCTGCCTGTCATTCTTCACCCACTCAGCAATGCGACAATCCGGTAATCCATTGCGGCGCAGTAAAATTTTATTACTTCACTTTAGCAAAACTGGAATTCGCCTTCTCCAATCACTACACTTTGCATATTCTTAGGCATACTTTGTTAATTTCCTTCCGATGGGGTGCTTTCCTTACTTCTTTCGGTGTAACTGGTGTCCTTTGTCAGCGCTTTTGTCGCGCCTGTTCGCTATGCTTGTCAACATATAACTGTTAATTAAAGGAGAAACAACTTCCTCCGTGTGTGGGGCCGCGGTTAAATATAAATCGAAGAGCCAAACTGACAATGTCCCTAGACAAAGTAGTTAAATTCTCAACTCTTTTTCGATTGGAAGCAATAATTTTAAAAAGACAATATTAAACCAACAGTGCTAAAACGGACCCTTACGAAGAAATAAGATATGTACTTAGTCCCATTGCCCGATGTCGCCACTATGGCGATACGATCATATATAAGTATAGTCAATTCTTGTAAACGGCTACTGGAATTAATTTCATTTAAATTTAATGCGAACTGAACTCGAAGGTTTGTTTTGGCAGCGCGTGGAAGCGCGCAGCAATAGTTTCTCACATATAAGACTTGTATGGGTGCCCGGTCACAGCAGAATCGCTGGAACCGGCAAAACCGATGAGCTTTCTATTATAAGACGTGAATTACATCGACTACATGGTGAAAAGCAAAACGATCACGGGGCTCTACTATGCTCTACCATGAATTGTTAAAACACGAAACCATTTGACGAAAGAAAAAGTGTTTTCCCTCTATTGCATGGCACACGTTCGCCGTCCCTACGGGCGAATGGGTCGACTCAGGCTAGAAACTGCCCGCCATCAAGCGTATTCTTTATGTTTCGTCACATGCGACTTCTTTTTCTTTCCGAACTGTTCGTTAGGCAGAAAATTTTGACGAATAAGGAAGTTAACGTGGAGAAGTTGAAACATCACTGGGTCGAACGTATCGAACTGAAAGAGTGCCATTTGAGAAACACTTCGCCTAAACTAGGTACGGACAGTCCCGGTAAATGAAATTATGCATTACTGAGATAGCAGCGGCTCTCAACCTTCCTTACTGATTAATTGTAAGCATTTTAAATTTTTGGTTAATTTCCGTACATGGAGCTCTTCTCCGCCATACTCTTTTAGAAAGACCGGGTGTCCGAAGAAAGATTGTAAAGTGGCTTTAAAGAAAATGTTAGCTGGGAAAATGGGTGAAAACAATAAATTTTTCATTGATAAGCCAGCTATAATTCAAATATTGACTGGTTACATTATCTCCACTTCTGCTTTTAATATTTTAATAAAAACTAGAAAAAACGTTAACTTCGACTACACCTAAATTGTAATATCCTTCACAAAAAAGCTTCCCATACAAGAATTTAATTTTGATCGATTTGTATGACAGCTGTATGGTCTTGTGGTCCAATCTAATTTATTCACAGATAATGCCGCTATCGTAGTTTTATAATTTATACTAAATTTCGTTTTCTCCTCAAGGAGCTGTTCATTTGTCGGAACCGCCGTTTTTGGACCATGAAAGAATATACCTGCATCGCCGCCACAGAAACTAATCGATCCAGTTCTTGTACTTGTATATAAATCTTTTGCGTTTGACAAGATATCTTTACAAACCTTGGCCTGGGTTAATATACAAAGCAATGCTAAAATATTTTAACAAATTGTACAGATCGATGGCGATAGTATATTTTAACGGTATTTCTTAATTACTTACCCGTAACAGTAAACACAATCGATACATTGCAAGAATATTTTAATTCTTAAATCCTTAGCTCAAATTTTGTACTTACTTCGTCCTGCAAAGAAAGAGAGTAGAAAACGCAAATTAAATATGGCTTAAAATATCGATTTAAATTAAGCAAAAAGACAAATAACATTAAAGGCAAAATGCCAATCAATAAAGCGAAAATTGATTAAATTCTTCAGCGCAGCAGCAATGGCAGCAATAAAAACAATTTCGGCAGCGAAGTCAGTTAAACTTAACACAAACTTTTCATTTCGAAGGAAAAAAACGCCCGCCACTGCTCTCCGGCAAACTTTGGCATACCTTAAAAATCAGGAAGACAGCGAGTAGACGTGCAAAAATGCCGAAATTACACGGCTTCCGCACCGTACAACAATAATAAAAGAATTTCTGGTGACGCAGTGAGAACGCCACTTCGACGATTTGACGGATGCGACACCCGAGCACGAACACGAAAAACGATTATTATATGTATGTGAAAGCTTGCAGCGGCGACGCGTCGAATTGCGCTGCAACCTTCAAAGTAAATGTACCGTTACTAATGTCAATTTCAGCGAGTTTAATCGTTGGAAAAATTGAACAAATCAATTTTGTCGCCAAAGCAGCGGCGACAGCAACAGCGGCAATAAACAACAAATCAAAATTGCAACAACAACAAATTAGGGTAAAGAACGCTTTCACTTCCTTGCTGTTAGTGTGTGTGCCTGTGTTTGTAATATTAAATTGGAGTATATCTGCGAGTGCCCAAGTTTTAAAGAAGAAAAATTTAATGAAATAAAAAGTGTGTGGCGTGTCGAAAAAACTCCGGTGAACACGTGTTCACGCGCAGCAGTCACAATATCAAAACACACACATACACACTCGACACTTATAGCCGCTAACGGAAAGCACCGCAACACCAGCTAACAGATGTTCGCCCACCCCTCCGGTACAATGGTGTTATCACGTTTTAAATTTCACACTCGCGCCTTCGTGTTGACAGGCCAAAGAGATTTAAATCGTTTCCAAGACTGTGGCAGGTGGAGGTGGCTAACGTTGGTAGCAGCGCGAACTTTGAACCCGGTGAAAAAATAAGAAAGCGAGAAAATTAAAAAAATAGAGTGATACGAAAATACAAATTGCGGCGCGAGAGCAAACGGAAAAAAATGTAAAGGGAAATTGGTATATTTAAAGATGACAATTGACTTGGGTGGTAAAAAGAGATATTAAAACAGCCAATTAAGATTTTAAGATCTATTCTGATCTGAGAAGTTGTTGTCTTTGCTACTGATAGACTCTTCCATTTTCGGAATACTTGACAGTAGTATACTCGTATACATAAAACCGGGATGGTATAGATCCGTTTCCTGAAAGCTTGGATAGTCATAACACTCGAGTTTTAGTGTATAGATAACCGGAACAAAAAAATCGGTAAAAAAAACCGTAAGTTCCAATTAATCCAATTAATCCCTTTTTATTAAATTTTTCCTGTATTCATCTGGTTATAAACTATAAATATACATGCAAGAAATAGTAGGACCTATAGTCTAAGACCATACTAGGATTATATTAGGGGAATTATGCACTCAAAGAGATACTCTTCAAGAGAGTCACATGTACCAATATATATATACATACTCTTCAATGACTTACTGGTTCATTTTACTTTCCACAAAATTCACTTTCTTTGCCTCGACTGTCATCCTAAACTTTAAACGTTTTCATCCTTGAAGCACTATTTATACTTAAGCTCACATATTCGTAATCACTTTGGCTACCGTAAAGTCTTTATATGGCAAAAGTGATTAGCTTAAGCCGTATGAGGAGCTGCTGCCACACAACGGAGCGCAATAAGACAATTTCATTTCAGCCGTATGCAACAATTAGTAACAGCCGACAGTTATACTAAATGTACGTATGTACATATATGTGAGCCAACAAACAAATAGACCGATCAACAGACAACCTCGTTTGTATATCTATATACCCAGTCCGAGTAATCCATAGTCGAACACAATTCGTCCAAAAAGCGCGCACTAACATAAGTCGTTGAACAACTGTATAAGTGTATATGTCACTCCAAGTCTACCGATGACAGCGATCGCACTCATAAAGATCTCAACACGCCAGACCACACAAGCGACACAGCTGCCGTCGCCACTACGGCTTCGCGGCGGCTTGTAGCTCTTACAATTCGGCATACATTTCTTTAATTCTCAATGCGACGACACAGTTTGGAGCAGGAGCTCCATAGCAATTTGAGCAGCCAGCCTCGGCAGCTTCATGCAATGACCATATGTGCTCGTGCGCGATCATGTCTGTGTCATTTGGGAGTGCAGTTGACTGCCTCAAATAGAGAGGTGTGCTGTAGCGCTAAGCTTTCGGCACAAGACTGGAAGGTAGACAGGCAAGCAGTTAAGCAGACGAACGAAGCGGGTTTGTTTGAGTGTCGCTGGACGCTCCAATTAAGCGGTAGTATGTTTCAGCATATTTAGGTAATATTGATGTACTAAGAGAGCAAACGATATTTATTTCTTCCTTTTATTAGAGGCAACAACCATAAAACGATCACAAATGATCTCTTGTTGCAACCAAAAAAGGCGATCATCATGATCTTAAATTGATCAGTGATGACTAGAAGCACAGCTACTGTACGTATTACAGACAAACATATGTATCTTTGAAGCTTACTCGTGCTAGTTTTTGCTCTAATATAACAATTGACAAGAGATTTATATTGATAGCGAATGGGTGTAATGACTTAATGGTTGCCATAAATAGGGGAAAACATGCTTAGGTAATAGATAGGCACTTGCAGAGTTTGGGAATCGAAAAAGTGAAACAGTGGAATGCAGGCAATCCTTGGTCGTATATAAAACCGGTGGATAGAACCGTTTTCGTCTACTTCTTGTAAGGGCTGTCATAGTACGCCAGTTCTTTCTTAACTCGACGAGCTGGAGCATAAAAAAAGCTTACTTCTTTTCCTGTCGACGTTTAGAATGAAAGGTGTCCTTCTCTGTTGAGTAAGTTAGCGACTTACTAGCTTCTAGATATTTTGTCTAGAATTTCACTTTAAATAGCCGAATTAAAAGACGAAAAAATCTGATTTCCGTACAGCTAAAAAGTTATTTGAGACCAGACCGAAGTAAGGAAGTAAGGTTAGGGATCAAAAATCACATTTTCTAGCTTCTCTACAAATTTATTACTTTTAGACCTATTTTCGACTGGTTGTTTCTTTCAAAAAAAGCAATTTTGAAATACCTCAAAGTCGTAAAATAACAATCGGTGTTGCTCCAAAGCAGCATCGGATTCGAAATGACTTAGAAACATAAACTTAATAACATACTTCTCTTGGAAGCATTAATTTTGAGACTTTTTTCGGCTGACTTTCAGAATAGTCGACCAAATATATTTACAATTAAAGTATTTCTTAATATCGTAAAACAATTATCAGTGACGAAATGCAATTGGGAATCAAAAACACCAGAAATACTTTACCAGAAATAATTTAGAATCATATGTCTAGCTTCTCTCGGAGGTCTTAATTTTTTAGACCTTTCTTCGACTGATTGCTGCTTTCAAAATAGTCGATCAGAAAGAAAACATTTCCGAAAGGCAATTTTTTAACACCTCAAGGTCATAAAATAATTATAATAATTATTGGAACTGGTCGTAAGTACCGTTAAAATTTAAAAAACTTCTATCAAATGTAATCAATTTAAATTTTATGATTCTAATAACATTCCAGCTACTTACAGCGAGATTCACTTACTAAATATTCATCGTTTCACAGTCAACAAATAATTAGCATTGCTGCCACACTGCCACAATCCATGATACGTGCCGCTTTGATAACAATAATGCACATAATTATATATGCACAGAGCATATGCATTGCAACAAATGATGAAGCAATTAAAATGGTGTTGCTACGCGTGGAACAAACTAAAATGCAACAAGTACAAATAAAATATGTTGCAACAACAATAACAGCAGAATGTACAATGCAAATTAGCGCAACAACATTGCAATCACGTACTGCAAACGGCAGCAATGACGACAACAACAAATACATTATATCAATAATTATGAACCACAACAACAGTGTGATGGCAGAAAAGAAACGAAGCAAGCGAAATTGCAACGAAGTATTGCCCACGGAATTTGTCAGCGGTGCAATTATTGCATGTATTTGCATTATTGGAATCAAAAAAGAGTTTTGCTTTGGCAATTCGCATTTGTTGATCAAAGTGAAATTGTAAAGTAAAATTGAGTGATACTACTAGAGATGGGTCAGAAACCCTTTTTAGAAAATATGCAACACGCCGAAGCAGTTTTCCAAAATGTTTGCTTTCACGAACCCGAAGAGTGTTTGAAGCGATTTTGCTGGTTTCCCTAGAGAAAAAGCGGAAATCACAGCAATTAAAAAAAGCCTGCTTTGAAATCACTAAAGTCTCATAGGGTTTCATCAAAGATAGTGAGTAAATTCCTTGATCTCTTAAGGGATTAAACATCATATTTTACGATAAACATTCAAAAACATGGGTACCAGGACATAGTGATATTCCTGGTAACTGTGAAACAGATGAACTAGCCAGAGCGAGCACCCTATGTACAATTAGACTCTGGAAAATAAGGAATTTATATGATATTTAATCGACAAACATGTTATATATATAGCTCGGTCTCGGTGGAGTGAATCCCTGACTTACTGAACATGCAGGCAAACGTGGCCTGGATGGAATATCACATGCCGACTATTAAAATTCAAGAGAATGGCACTTATTGGCACGCATCCCAACGGACTGGGGATACCATACAACGACTATTGTAGAAACTGTCAAGAGGTAGAAGAAGAGGCGACTATAGAGCATCTTCTATGCGAATAAAAAGGAAAAGTGTCGATATTATCCGTCGAGGATTTCTTGACGAAGTTTCGGAGGTTGCACAAATAAAACTTTTTGTATTAGTGAAATTCATCGGAAGTACGGGTTGGTTCAGAGAGGACATAATAGAGTGAGGGGGTTTTAAACTCGCTGGATTCCCAGTAGGCCTCTAAGGCCTAGTTGCGTC